CTTTTCCTTTAATTGCTCTCTGGTTCCCTCTAGTTAACCTTCAAAGCCCAGTCTTATCTTTCGTTTATTTTCAGAGCCAAAACTTTCCCACAGTAAGTTTTCTTACAGTTAATTCCAAAATCATCTGCTGTATTTTTATAAAATTTAAAATAATAAAAGAGCCAGGTTGGTCTAGTGGTTAAGGCACCAGGCTAGAGGAGGCTGTGAGTTCTAGTCCTGCCTTGGGCATGAAAGCCAGTTGGATGACTTTGGACCAGTCCCTCTCTCTCAGCCCAACTCATCTCACAGGGTTGTTGTTGAGGGGAAAATAGGAGGAGGAAGGAGCATTAGATATGTTTGCTGCCTTGACTTATTTGTAAAAATAAGAAAGGTATGATAACTTAAAAATAAAAAAACCCTATTCTTTCAAATCCATCTGGCCCCTTAACTATCCACAGCCAACATTCTTAACTCCTTTTCACTGTTTTCCAAAAGTTAAAAATTTTCTTTTTCATCTTTAAACTTACTGAAATCTTCTTTCTCCCAGGATAGAAGGAAATTCTCCTGGTGTACAGCAACTTGCCTTTCAGGAGGCTTTTAATTGCCAAGTAAATCGCTAATAAGTAATTTCCAATGTTCATTAAAAGAGGGAGTGAAAGCAAATCTAGTGTCTCTTTAGAGCCTCTGAACCATGATTTGGGCTCGATGTTTCCCGCGACTCCCAGAGCGCTCAACCCACTGGAGATCACTAAATTGTGATCTCTTCACAAGGAGCCTCTGTAAGGAGTCCTTGTGGGTGATCCGGTCATATCTTTTGTCTGGAGATGGTTCTGAAGAGCTGGACTTTTTGCTGGCTCCACTTAACCATTGTGGTCGTCAGCTCCATGAAAACGGAACCATCTTCAATCTGCCATTACTCCCCCAGAAGTCCCTTCCAAATTTTCCCTTTGAAAGGGGTTTCCTTGCAGCTTCTGTGTGCTTCTGATAAGGCCTATGGCTTATCTGGCCATGATACTGTCAGGCTAGCCCATCCTGTTCCATTCCCTCCTGCTTTGTGTATTGCTGTCTGCTCCATGGCCAAGACAGCAATAACATATAAAATTATAAGAGGCAATATTTGTGAAGGTGTGAGCTACATATGAATATAATGCTGCTTAGAGCAGAGCTGGGCAATCAGTGCCCCCTAGAATCATGCCACCAGATGAGATCAGTATGATTTTCTGCTATTTTTAAACATAAAATATTATGTTCATCTTTTGATAAGTTTAATGTATCCTTTTTATTTTTAAAAAATGAAGGAAGGACTGAAAATTCTGCCTCTCTGATATTATGGTCATGCCACTGGTAGCCCAACTGGGGTGGGGGGTGGGGGGAGTGTTCTCCTAGCTCTGAAAAGCATGTCTGTCCCTTGCCTAGAGGAACATCTGATATTTGTCACTCATCAGTAATACATTTTCAAAAAAGATTGGCTATTCCTGTCAGGGAATAAATGCTGCAACTTTAGTTCCTTTATATGAGCACTTTATTTCCTCTATGCTCTGCGTTATGAAAAATTGATGTCTTGTTGAAACAATATTTAATTGCTTCCCTCCTAAAAGAAGGTAAGTGTTAAAATCAGTACATTTTCTGTTTTCAGGTTCTAGTACTTGGAAACAAGAGAGATCTTGCTAATGCACTGGATGAGAAGCAGCTTATTGAAAAAATGTAAGTGAGCAAGCAAGCCTATCTTAAGTAAGGTGAAAAAACATGTTCTACAGATTAGCTTTGTACTAGCTCTGCTCACATGGCTCAGTAGCCCATGCCATTATTTCTTAACAGGCCTCCTTCCAGGTTCAGAAGTCACATGGCTAAAGTAAACCATGGGTCAAATCATTGATTCAGAATGTAAGCTCTCTGCCTTAAATCAGGGTGGATTAAACTCATGTTTTGGATGACATGCTAAATCAAACTGCAGAGTGGCTTAGGATGGGTAGGGATTCTTTCTCAGAGGGTTGATTTTTGAGGGCATCAGGGGCATGGAACTTGCATAACAAATGCCTTCTTTCTACAATATGGGTGGTAAGAAGAAATGAGGTCATGTGATGATATGTTATTTCTTCAGCCTCACAGGGGCCTTTGGGATATTGTCCATCAGTGGTAAATAAGGGTATGTCTAGTATATATCACAGATTTTTTTAAAAAAAGAACAGTCTATTTGCTGGTCTGTAAAATTGTCTGGGCTTTCTTAATAGCGGTTTATTTTAGTTATGGTTTATTTTGATGAGCAAATATGTCTGTCATAGGAGAAAGCTTCCAATAAATTGCCTTGATGATTAAGAATAATTCATATTTTAATGTGAATCACAGTTATATCAAGTTTAGTAGGATGTTGCTGTGGATTTTCACCAAATTATGAGCTGCTTCTCTTCCAGGAACCTGGCTGCTATTCAAGACAGAGAAATCTGCTGCTACTCTATTTCCTGCAAAGAAAAGGACAATATAGGTAATAACAATTCAGTAACACTAGCTTTGGAGTACTCAGCATGTTGCCTGTGAGTACCACAGTTCAAAAAGGGCAATGACAAATTGAAACTAGTTTAGAGGAAGGCTACTAAGATGGTGAAGGCTCTGGGAACCAAGCCTATGAGGAACAGTTAAAGGATCTGGGTATGTTTAGTCCATAGAAAAGAGGACTCAGAGGAGATACGATAGCAATCTTCAGGTATCTGAAGGGTTTCCACAAGATGGAGTGGATTTATTCTGTGTTGCCCAGTGGTAGTAATAGAACTAAAGAAAGCAGGTTCAGGCTACACATCAAGCTGTCAGCCAGTGGAACAGGCTGTTACATGAAGTTGTGAGTTTTCCTTTGTTAGATATTTTTAAACAAGGCTGGATGGTCGGTCATCTGTGAAAGATGCTGTAGTAGATCCTGTGCTGAGCAGTGGATAGGACTAGATGACCTCTGAGGTCAATTCCAACCATGATTCTATGACCAGTGTGCCTGTAGAACTTCCTTAATATCTGCTGATCTCCCTGCACTTCCTGATTCCTTCAGATGTTTCATGTTAATTAAAAATCAGAAAGTTAGTATGTGTTAAAATAAAGCACTTGCCTCTAGTGTCATTCTTATTTCCAAGAATGCATTTGATATCCAGAGGTATTTTTCAAAAATAAAATAAGTAGTTTGCTGCAGCCCAGTGCTTTGTTATGAAGAAAGTTTAATTTCAGATGTTTCATGTTAATTAAAAATCAGAAAGTTAGTATGTGTTAAAATAAAGCACTTGCCTCTAGTGTCATTCTTATTTCCAAGAATGCATTTGATATCCAGAGGTATTTTTCAAAAATAAAATAAGTAGTTTGCTGCAGCCCAGTGCTTTGTTT